CAAAATATAATTTTACATTAAATAAAAAAGTTTTAAACTTAATTAAAATAAAACATGTCTTAAATTAAAATAAGTAAACTGTCATGTTTATTGCTGCCATAAAAAAAGTTAAACACATTTGGACGGTGAATGAATGTCAGGATTCTTGCTCAGAAAAAGGATCAACATGCTCTGAAGTTAAAGCAATAAAACCTTTTTTGTAACAAAATATCGATTTCTGCTGTCCCTGTATCGATACATTATTATTAGCAAACAAAATATCACGATACTACACAGTATCGATTTTTTCCCCCACCCCTAGTAGTGCTGTCACATCAATACGGACAAAATCTGAGCAATGTTTACAGCACCTTGCTGAATCTTCGCCACAGACAATTAAGGTGGTTCTGAATGCAAAAAAAGGGTCCAACCCTGTCCTAGCAAAGTGTACCTCATCTGTCATCTGATGAAAAAACGTTTTGTTTTGTTTTTTCAATTGACTACACATGGAGCAAAAAGTTTTTGCTATTACACACTGAAAGTAAATCATTATTTTTAAGGTTTGTAGGCTAATATTAAATATGGACCACGCTTCATTTTAGATGTTTGTGTAATAGCTAAGATAAAGTGTACTCTACTTGCAAAACCCAACAAACCTATCAGCTAATTCTTTGATGATCTCCACCAATATATTATAGCTGCTATTGTTTTGTGAGTCTGTCCATGTGTGTGCATCATCAAGGCAAAGGCCTGGAAAAAATACTGCAGCGGGAAGTAGCTCAAAGGCAGTTCTGAGTTTTTTTGGCAGATGTTTATGGAGACGGGCGACAAATTAAGGGAAAAAACAACAACAACAATAACACTGAGTCTTAGAAAGCTTTTGGGAGAAGTGCTGCCAGAAGAGCTTTAACTCACCTTGGCAATGATTGCACAAATCTCCTGAACTTCTACAAAAGGGATGGAACATCACTACTCAAACGGTTATTTAAGTTTTGATGATGGTGCTGATATTGTTCCAGAATCTCCTACAGGTATTCAGTTGGGTTACGCTGTGCTGACTGTTACAACCATACTATGTTATTCCCATTATTTTCACACTCAAGCCTTTAAGTAACTCCTTGAAAAGTATATATAGGTTGTTTTTGCTCTTACTATGAACCATGTAAAGTTTGCTGCAATAGGTGTAAGGCTGCTGGGAGATTCCCATGATGCATTGAGT